TCTACTTCTGGGATTTTGGTAGTTAATTGGAGATAAGAGTTTCATGGACTTTCCTGCCTGGGCTGTTTTTGAACTATGATCCTCAGATCTCAGTCTTTTGAGTAGTTGGACTTACAGGCATGAGCCGCCCATGTGTGGCTATGTTTCTTGCTTGTGTTTTTAAAGATAGTATCTCCCACCCTGGCTTTGAACTCACTGATCCTTCTGCCTCTGCTTCTCAAGTGTGAGATTATAGTCATATTCACCACGTTTAGCCATTCATTGGTTTGGATCCATTGGTTGGATTCGCCTGATTGTGCTGTGTACCTTCTGTGTATTGGAATGAAGAGACTTGCTAAGAGTCTTGATGACCCCAGTCTGCCGAGTTCTGGATCCTTAGAGATATTGGGAAACAAGACTTGTACTCCTCATAGAACTCCTGGTGTTAGGGGAGACTGGGGACACAGGGTCCTCAGGTCAGGGAGATGCCATCAGAGAGGGATGGGCACCGATGTGTTGCCATTTCAGGGCAAGTGCTGTCTCCACGCAGCGAATTTTCACCTTCTGAAGGTACCTAAATCCCTTCCCCCCCCCAACCATTGTGTCTCAACAAGCATTTACTGTATTGAACTGAATTTAGTTTATCTCAGACTTTCTTTAAAAAGTTTAAAAATGTATATGTATTTATCATAAATGTATGATATATGTGATATCATATATACGTATATATGTGTATACATACTTATATATACATATATACATGTCATAAAGTTGGTCATCTTAGCCACTTTTAAGTGTACTGTTCTGCATTCATATCCAGGCACAGCCATCCCCTCAACTCCCCTCCCCTTGCAGAATGGAAGCTCTGAACTCCTTGTGCATTAACTCTCCTCTTTTCCCCTCCTCCGGCCCCCCTCCCCCTGGCTGTCTCATAGGAGTGGAATCATTCTGTTTTGTCTTTTTGTGATCAACTTCATTAGCATTCATGACCTCCTCAAGGATCATCTGTACTGTTCCATTGTGTATGCATACCATGTTTTGCTTATCTTTTCCTTGATTGACACCTGGTTGTTCCCACCTGTTGGTTGGAGTGAATACTGCTGCTGCAGGAATGAGCGTGTGAGTGCAGCTTTTGAATAAAGTTGTGTGCTCATTATTTCTTCCAACCTCCCAGTCTGACCTGTTCTTTTTATTTTGTTTATTTATTTTTGTTGGTCATGGGGCCTGAACTCTGTCCCTGAACTATGCTGTCCCTCAGCTCTTCAGCTCAAGGCGAGCGCCCTACCACTTGAGCCACAGCACCACTTCCAGCTTTTTTCTGCTTGTGTGGTGCTGAGGAATCGAACCCAGGGCCTCATGCATGTGAGGCAGACACTCTACCACTGAGCCACCTTCCCAGCCCTGATCTGTTCTTTTTCAGCCTCTGCTAGGTACATGTGCTTTCACAATCAGTATCATATAGCCCTTCTTGATATTCTACATTTATGAGAATACATATTGAAGGAAATGCTGGTCACTGGGTTGGAGAAATGAGTGAAGGTGAATTCAGACCTGCTCTCTCTTTTCATTTGTAGGGTTTGCGGTCACGGCACAGGTGGATGAACACCAGCACCTCAGTCGGATATTTATAAGTGATGTTCTCCCTGATGGCTTGGCCTACGGGGGAGGTCCGTGTAATGCTGAGTCTCTGTTCTCTCTTTATCTCAAATGCTGCCATGTGGTCTGCCTAGTGGCTTCCTTCCCCTCCCCTCCCTTCCCTCCTTATTTTCTCCCTTCTCTTCTCCTCCCTTTTCATTTTCTCTCCTCCCCTCCTCACTTCTTTCCCTCTTCACCCCTCCCCTGTCTCCCCTTCTTTGGAACCACAATTCTCAGATCTCAGCCTCTTGAGTAGCTAGGATTATGAGCATGAGCCATCAGTACCCAGCATGAAATTTTCTTCTTACAGTGTTGTCAAGAAGTGGCTTCTGGAATGTTAAAGAAAGTAGAATGTTTACTTGAAAATGCATATTTGTGTGTGTATATATAGCAAGACACCATTTGTATGGTGTATGTGTTTAAAAAGAAAGAGATACTCAGACACATGCACACACACAAACGTATATCACATTGAGGAAGGAAGAGAGTGTGAGAGATTGACAGACAGACACAGATAAGACAAATGTTTTTCCCTGGGGTGTTTAACATCAGAACCCTGGAAGAACAATTTAACAAGTAGCTCCCCAAATGGTTGCCTGTTAAAGCTAGTCTCTCTAATTCTAGCTCAGGAAGAACTAACATTTGTGTTGCTATGAGAGGCATGGAAATACTATACAGACCTGAGGGGGTATGAGTTTGGGTTTGAAGCCTTGCTTCATCTTAAAATATTTCCCCTCAGTAATCTCTCTCCCTTTTCTCTTCCTGTTTCCCCTTCTTTGTTCTCAGGGCTGAGAAAGGGCAATGAAATCATGACCTTAAATGGAGAATCCGTGTCTGAACTTGACTTGAAGCAGATGGAGGCCCTGTTTTCTGAGAAGAGCGTCGGGCTTACCCTGATCGCCCGACCTCTGGACACAAAAGCAACCCTGTGCACTTCCTGGTCGGATGGTGACCTGTGCTCCAGGGACCAGAAGGCCCTGCTGCCCTCTTCCCACCAGTCCCAGCTGCTGGAGGAATTCCTGGACAACTTCAAAAAGAACCCAGCCAATGGTGAGGTGATATTCTGTCTGTTTCCTTCAGCGCCAGTACCCGTGGCCAGTGTTCTTAGGCTGCAAGTTTGCTTGCAAAACTTGATCATGGGAGTTGTTCAAAGATCCTCGTTTGTCAGAGAATGTGCATGCCAGCTCAGAAAGGTTGTATCAAGTCATAGTCATTATTATTCTTTTATGAACATTGAAAAGAATTATCTTTCTGCACAAAAGTCTTTAATATGGAAGACTCTCTGAATGTGCTCCCCTTACCCGTGTGGTATTCAGTACTGTGGTTATTATGACAGAGAGCAGGTGAAAACCTGAATGCCAGAATTGGAAGATCTTTTCTTACTCTGTTAGCTCTAAGGCAGACCTGCTTCCCTGTGATTGCTGGAACGCAAGCCATGAATGTCAACCTTGGTGAAGGGTTGGAATGGAAAATTTGCATGCCACTGTGTTTTTCTCAGATTCTCATATGCAGAAATCATCCAGAGCTTTGAATTTCTGAGTTTTCCATCCTTGCCTAGGTTTGTACCTTGCCGTCTAGTAAATTAGCATTTTATGCTGACACCCAGCATCTGTGCTTTCCTGTGTATTCCAGAAGCTACTGGTTAAGCTCCATAGAGCCCAGCACAGGGTCTTTGTGGGCATGTGCAGTCATTTTATATTTAGTAAATTGTTCATAGATTTCCCATTGAAGTCTCCACGTGATCACCAGGAGATGAATGAAAAAAAACAAGAGAAGCTGTTAGGATGCATTTAATTATATGGCAAGTTGGTTAGGTCATTACTTTGAAATGACAAAACCTGATTGTTAGGTGTAGTGATTCAGTAAGATATCTAACACTTTCTTCTCCTCTCCCGGAGTAGCTGCTTCAATTTCAAATACCATCAAACAGACTAGGCAGGTAAAAGCAAACATCCTCAGACAATGGTCATATCATTCTCAGACAATGTGGTTATATGAAGCCATCATTTAGCCACTGTGGGCTACTTGTATGAGCATGAATGTTTCTTTCTTTCTTTTTTTTTTTTTTGGGTCCGGTCGTGGCGCCTGAACTCTGGGCCTAGGCGCTGTTCCTCAGCTCTTCAGCTCAAGGCTAGTGCTCTACCACTTGAGCCACAGCGCCACTTCTGGCTTTTTTTTTCTTTTTGCTTATGTGGTGCTGAGGAATCAAACCCAGGACCTCAGGCATGCAAGGCAAGCGCTCTACCACTGAGCCACCTTCCCAGCCCCTGAGCCTGAATGTTTCTTGAGGCCACATGTACCACATGTGTTGTACCTCTATGCATTTATTATAATAAGAAATTACTGTCTCTAATACTTTGGATTCTTTCAGGAATGAATTTCCATAGAAAGCAGCAAAAGAGGCGACCCGCCCCCCCCCCTTTTTTGTACTAGTACTGGGGCTTGAACTCAGGGCCACTGTCCTTCAGCTTTTTTACTCAAGACTAGCACTCTACCACTTGAGTCACAGTTCCACTTCTAGCTTTTTGCTGGTTAATTGGAGATAAATGTCTCGTGGACTTTTCTGCCCAGTCTGGCTTTGAACTGCGATCCTCAGATCTCAGTCTCGTAAGTAGCCAGGATTCCAGGTGTGAGCCACTGGCACCTGACAGAATTCCCTTTTTTAAAAAAGATAACAAGGATCGTGCGGGTGAGGTAACTATGTTCACTCTTTTTGAAAGGGAGCGGACTCAAGAGGCGGGTGGTCCTGCATCTGTTAGATCATGGCTCTACACTCCTCAGCGGCATTGGCTGGGAGGGTCTGAACCTTGGCACTGCCCAAGGCCTCCTGCCATCTTGTGTTCACCACGCTGAGGGAGCCAGGTGGTGGGAGCCACAGAGAAGCAGCACAGATGTCTGCCCATGCCTCTCCTGGACAAGGAGCCGGGTGCGAGCTGCCTGCCCTTCCTGGCCTCCCAGCAACACTGTGTTCCCTGGAGTTTACATTCTCACAGGAAGGAAGCGTAGGACCTTACACATCTTCAGCCCCAGGTTTGACTCTTCATCCCCTTGCCTGAGCGCCAGATGCCTCTTCCACAATCAATACTTCTCTTGAAGCAAAGCAGACATGGATCTGTTTTTCTTTTGGAGGTAGTTGCCTTGCTGGCGAAGGAGATTCAGTGAGTGTCTCAGAAGAAAGTCTTTCTCATTTTAGGCAGTGGTAAAATTTGGGGTAGGTAGATAAAGACATGGAAAAAAAAAGTCTATAACATCTTGATTCCAAGCGAAGCTTGCATTTATGGGAGCGATGAGAGGTGGCGTGCGGGCCAGCCTGCAGGTGCTGGCTTGTGTCCCTTTAGGACAGCCCACACCAGTGAGGTTGGAGTCTGGAGGATGCTACCCTCTTCCTTACCCTGTGGACACAGTTGCAAGGTGCAGGTCTCACTGTTCACGGAGGCCCCTGGAATCAAGTTGTGGCTGCCCACAGTAATCTTTTCCAAATCTCTCAGAGTCCCTCTGCCCTTCCTGACTCTTCTGTACTCTGGGCTACCCTTTAAGTAGACTTCTGTACCTAGTCCTTAGCTTAGACCCACCCTTGCGGGAGCCTGCAAGAAGACCTCAGGCTCAACTTCCTCACCCAGACAAGGAGGCTTCTCCCCTTCCCAGGGGGCCACAGTGAAGTGAGTGAGACTCAAGTGTGACATGTCTACTCTCTGCTAGAATTCTGAACCCTGATTCCCCTTTCCTTTGCAGCTTCATATTTAATCATTGCTTTGATTCCTATTTGCTATGAGGTAGAAAGCAGCAATCCTGTTTTCTTACGGAAATATTTACCTCGGCAAAGAAGTTTAATTGATTTTGAAAGACAGTTTCTGACACAACTGGGGAGTGCACTGAGCATTTCCCCACCTTACTTGAATACAAGTAAGGTTCTGCTTCCCTTCTCAGTGAAGTTGGGCCTCTGCCAAGACCTGGCTCCCTGCAATAGCAGACCTGCTTTTACAATAGGAACCTTGGACATCTCTGAAGGTGAGGGACAGGAAGTACTGTTCTGGCATAGCCCATCCCAGCGGGATGTATACTGAGCCTCTCTCTGCAGAGTGCTGAAAATGCGCCCTGAGAAGTCCCTGAAAAGCAGCTACATGGAGCTCAGTGTTGGCTTTACTCTTGGTTTTGGTCAGGTACCTAGAAATAAATCTGTGTTGATTAGCGTTTGTTTCTTGATTTGTTCTGCATGGAAAAAGAAATCCTGTCTCTATCTGTGACTGAAGCAAGACTTGATCACAGCGGTGGATCCCAACGGGCTGGGGAAGGTTGTGGGCTGTTATTCAGGCTCTGTGCTTTTCTGGAAAAGAAGCATCCCATTGGTAGTTGAGATTCTTGGATCCATATATATAGCATTGAGTGAAATGGCTCTCCCTGTTGGTACTACTCAAGGCTCACCTAGTGAGCTTTTGAAAGTGCAAACTAGAGTCCTGTTCTGACTGCGCCACCTTCAGATGGTACAGGGAAGTGCACGCTCAGTTTGCACCAGCCCAGGTGGCTGGTCTTGAGCCGCTGTGGGGTGGTGGTAGGGTGGGTTCACAAACTTGGTCCCTTGGGCAATGGTCTACAGGAGATGGGCTTGACCTGAGCTGCAGGATCACTGCTGGTTTTAGACGCCTTTTCTGAATGTGAGTATGTGTAAATTTCCAGCAAATGCAGCTGTTGTGCTTGGACAGTGGTGTTTCTTCCTCTCTGTTAGGGATCCTGTGCCCCAACCATCACAGCTGGCCTTCAAAGTGCTCCTAAAGCAACAGGTTGACTGGTCAGCTCACCTCACTTGTTCCTCAGTCCCAGCCCAGGACACCATTCCATGCAGCACAGGAGGACACGCGTAACAAAGAAAGGCCAGGGTCACTGGTGATACACCCCAATGCCTGGAGCACTGCAGGCTTGGAGTCAGAGCAGCACCGAGAGTTGCTCAGTACTGAGGACTTTCTCCTGCTCGGATGTAAATGACTGGTTCTTGCCTTAAAGGGTTTGAATTTCTGTTCTAGTTATCCATAGAGCAGGGAGGAAATGTCCATAGGCAACATTGGACTTGAGCGGAAATATCAGCATAGACTCTTTTTATAGAGAGTTAATTTTACCCCTGGCATCTCCCCAATGGGTTGATGTTATTTTAAAGCAAACAAGGCCACCATTGAGGCCCTGGGTGAACTAGAGCTGTGTACAGTGCTGCTTTTGTGATTTATATATGACCATCCTTTTTTTTTCTGTTTTGTTTTGTTTCTTAACAATTCCAGCAGCTTTTAGGAAAGTCTCATCAGGCCTAGAGGCCTAGAGTTCTTGAATGAAGTATGTAAACTCAGATTCCTTGGTCCTGGTGTCTAGCTCTGGTCTCTATGATCTTCGGTGGATCTTGCTTCCTAAACTATAACAGAAACACCAGATGAAGCAGTTTAAGCTTTTCCCTTTCTTTCTCGAAAAGTTAATATGATTAAAGCAACAAGTTGCATCCTATCAAAATGTATATTTTTCTGTAAAAGTTTCTGAAGCAAAGCAGTGAATCAAGCATCCCATTTTTGTTTTTGCACAAATTTCAGCTCCTGAAATAGTCCAGTCCTGCCTGGCTCGGAGAAGGTGTTGGTTAAGGCTTCGTCATAATAGCAGGCTGTCTCCATGTAAAGATCACAAAGGCCTGAGGAGTGCTTATTATGCCCCGCATCACCCTGCGTCTCAGAGCTGTGCTATTATCATTGTTTTCTCACAGCTGGGGAAATCAAGGCACAGAGGCACATGGAATCACGAGGAACTCGGGCAAGGTCATTGTGTCCGATAAAGATGGAACTGTGCCATCTTTTTTTATTCACATGAGGGAAATGTTGACTTTGTTGTTGTTATTGTCATCCTCAGTCATAAGGCTTGAACCCAGGGCCTGGGCACTGTTCCTGAGCTTTTTTGCTTAAGGTTAGCACTCTACCACTTTGAGTCACAGCACCACTTCTGGTTTTTTGGAGATAAGAGTCTCATAGACTTTCCTGCCTGGCCTGACTTTGAACTGCGATTCTTAGATCTTAGCTTTCTGA